ACTTAATAACTACAAAAAGTGGATTTAAAATTGAAAAAAAATCAAAAACAAAAAAAGGCGTGAACGCAAAACAGAGGTACAACGACAATGTGTAACTTACAGCCTGAAAACGGTATACTTATACAAAATGAATATTCACCACCGTTACCACCACCATTACCACCACAACCACCACCAACACTACCACTATCCCCGCCGCCACCACACTACTATTAAGTGCCATCAACAAATACAACAACAAACTTGGAAAAAACAAATGCCAAAAGAACAAAACCGAGTTTTTTTTTTTTCACTTTTACTGTTGCAAAGATCAAATGATGCTGAAGTGATGGCGTGATACCGAGCAAGGAGCAAACGCACCTCCAGAAGTGTTCCGCTACTTGTAGCCAAAATAAATGAAAAACTTGCTTGTTCCAGGTTAAGTATACCGCAATCAGAATTAGCCACATACCAAGTTCAGAAAAAGAAAATAAAATAAAATTAAAATAAGAAACTCCAACTATAATTACAGGCAGCAAACAGCAACTTTTTTTTTGTTTTTTTTTTTTTTGTTTTTTTAAATATTGTATATATGTTTGTGGATTTGGGAATGAAATGTTAATAGATGAAATACAAATAAACTTTTAACGATCTACCAACTACAAAAACAAAATATTTTTCATCTTTTCTTGAACTACGAATGCAGAAAACTCCCCTTTTTTTTTTAATAAACAGAACCAAAATAGTCAAAAAAAAATCCAACTGAAACAAATGAAAATGCTGATGCCAAAAAGAAAAATAAACAGAATTTTGATTTCTGATAGTTTTTTTGCCAAAATAAAACAGAAGAAAACAGTGCCTTTTCTTTTTTTGTCCAAAATGAAACAACCAAGGCAAATTAGTACAAAACAGAAGAAAATCGAAAATATTAAACAAAAATTAGACGGGGAATAAAAAACCGATTCTGATTCTACTGATAACACTAACACGTATATCAACAAGAAATGGCAAGTATTCGCTTCATGAAGAAAGAACAGCCATCTTGCATGAACATCCGGGGTTAGAAAACTACGGTCTGTCGTCGGCTTCTCCATCGCTGCATGACCTTGACAATTATTTTCCTGCCGCATGTCCAGTTGTTGCTTGCGTATTCGCACTTGATGTTGGTGGCGTCGAACTACCAGACATAACAATTCCGCCGTAGCGAAGTGCTGCAGCAGTCGCAGCGGCTTGTTGTTGCATTAATTGATGATGTAAAAGCGCATACTGTGCAAGAATCTCCTACAAACGAATAAAAATTAAATTCAACTGAACAGGTTACAAAAATAAATTTTGCTCACAACCATCAAAATCTTCGAAAAAATAGTGAAAGAAAAAGATGGAAAACAAAAATTAACTGTACGAAAATCCATAACTCAAATAATTACCTGCGATGGAAACTGTCCTAACGGATTATTAGTTGCAGTTGCTGTAACACCAGGAGTATTCAACGGATTGGGCGCTCGTGGCGCAAGGAAATTTCCGTTCAACGGATTACTGAGAGCAGCAACTGCAGCAGCCAACTGCCTTTCCGGTGAAATCGTTGCAGCTGTACTACTGGCAACTACCATATCATTAGCAGTAACCATACTTGACTTTGGAGTTGTCACTGTGTAGCTACCGGATAACGATGATGGTGTTGATGCATGTGGAGCGATTGAATTGGCAGATGCTGTTGATGGTATCCTATAAATAAAAATAAAGCCAATAAGTAACGATTTAACTATCCGTCAAATTGAGTAGCGAAAAAAACTTGACCACAAAAAGAAAAAAAGAAATAGAGAGAAAAAGAAGAAACAGAGTAAAATGAACCTGTTTTGTGAAAATCCTGCCAATGACGACTGTGGTAAACTTGCACTTATTGCAGCCTGCTGTTGAACATTAGCTGAAGTTTGACGGCTAGCTGGCCGTCCTACCACTGCTGCTACAGATGCTGTTGGTAACTGAGCCGTCGAAACTGTCGCTGTATTCCGTGAAACCACTGGCAAACCACTGCTTGCTGTCAAAGTTCTCAGTTTGTTTAAGGAATCGTCTACTGGTGGTGCATAAGCTGTTGATGCGGTATGCTGAGAATTTGGAGTTCCAACTACTCGTGCACTCGCTGGTGCAGTAGACGGCTGCTGTTGTTGTTGTTGTTGTTGCTGTTGCTGCTGTTGTTGTT